TGGGCACTGTTACATTCTATAAGTCTATGACTTTCAACAGTCCCACTTAAAGTGAGTTCATTAGTTTTTTAACATACCAATTCAGCAACAACAAAATAACGAAAGAACATTCAAACCAAACACCAAACCCACACTTTTAGGCTGACATTACATTCCGATGACTTCTTTCCCCTTGCCTTCATTCTTCACTTCAATGATCTTGACCTCAACGGTCTTGGGCTTCTAAACACGCCGTCTTGAGAGACAACACAAATGGCATCAGTGTTGACATTTTCCGGCTGCTGATGAGGAGCACATTATCGTCCTCAGTCTAAATGTGATGCCACCGAACTTAAGTCCCGGCATGTCTATGATGAAGACAATACGAGTTGGGATATTCCTTCGCGTCCGGCAAAGTAGAAGCCATGGTCTTAGCGTCTCAAACATAAGTGCGTACAGGAGCGTTAAAGTGTTAAACGACTTATCAACTTCATCAGAGACACCGAGCATGTGCTAGAGCGTCGAAAACAAAGGATTGTCAAAACCCATGAACCTCATATCCATTTCCATCAATTCATGGGGGTTGCAGCGGCGTCTCAACGGTGAGACTCAATCTGTGTGTCGGTGTTGTGAAGAGACGGTGAGGCTCGGGAGGGAGGAGAGGAAAAGGGAGAGAGGGAATGAGAAAAGAAGCAGGTCAATCATTTTTGATAAATTTTTGAAGTCCAGACTGCCGTTAACAGCCTGGACTCCGTCAGTTTCGAAAGAAAGGGGGAGGGTGGCGTTTTCAAATCTCATTGGACGGGGAAGGAAGTCATTCCCAGGATAGGATACGTGTCTAACGCAAGAGCCCAAAAACAAAATAATTTTTAAATCTCCAAAAATTTCATAATTTGATCAATTTTTATATGACCAGATTTTAAATAAGCAACCACTCCTCTGTTTCTGGCCCTTTCCGTTAGCTAGTGCTTAAAACGAAACACCAAATTCCTCTTAATAGGAAAACAAATGCACACCGTAAATTCTGCCGTCCTCCTTCCTTGTTATTATTATTATTAGCCCCAGTGCCATAACATGCCCCCCACCCCCCAGCTGACGATGGAATAGCGCAGCGGGTCAGGGATAACTCAAGTTCCTATTGTTATGGTTACGGATCGACCTTATGTCTACAATTATTATATATCTCAATCTCAGTCGGTTATCCTGACGGTCATGAACGGACACAAAGCTACCTATTTTTAATTTAATAGGCCAACTGGAAATGGAAATCATCATCAGGCCATCAGGTGATTAGATTGATTTTTTGTATTTTGTAGAGGAAGTAGGCTTGCGTTGGCTCTGTTTGGATCAGATTTGACTTGTAATAGAAGAGTCAGGAGAGAAGAGAAGGGGCGCTAGCTTTGCCGTGGCTTGTGGCTTTGTTTTGTTGATCGTCTCGTCATTTTCTGTACAGAAGGCAACGCGGTTCCCTGGGAGTCTGGGACCAGCTACACACACGTATCTGCCCCTCTCTACCATCTATTTCTACAATTTCGTATAGTCTTGTTTCTATGCAATGTAATGTGGGGAGTAGGTGATATCATATCTCCTCCCCCGTAAGGGGCCGTTCTACAGTATATCTCTGCCGTGTATTGAAAACATCTCCTCCTGATACGGTGGTGTGGGACATTGTGAACTGGTGGAGTATGGAGTAGGGGACCTGAATTGATGGCGTCCTCTCGTCCTCCAACCTCCTCCTCCCCCATTCACCTTTTAACTGTTTGGTGTCTCATAACTAAGATTTCGAGGATGCATACGGCTTCGTTACTATTTTCACTTAATCCACGTGGATGTATTTATCAAAAATACTCCACGTGACGTGGAAATTACGTTCAGGGCCACTTTGGAATTTCACCACACACTGGGAGCCAGACAAAGGGAGCAGCCAAGCCAGGGAAAGGGAGCACCAGCAGAGTCGTGTTTATCGGAGTGCATGACAGTCAACCTTCTTTCTTTGACTGCACCCTCCTTCCGCTTACACTTTACTAAATCTCGTTTTCTAATATTTCTAATCCATTATCCCTTCTATCTTTTTCTTTTTCTTTCCCTATCCATCAAAATAAATAAATATACAAATCTTTCTCTATTTTTTATTTTTTTCCTTTTGTTCAATATTTATATCAGAGGACTGAGAATATTCTTGTCATATAGTAGTAGATAAAGCTTTAAGAGGGTTAAAGAAAAGAAAAATTATTACTGTTCCACAAAAATTGTGGTGCAGTGCAACCCCAGCGCAATGAGGACGATGCTCCGTCATCATTATTACCACCCTCGCCGAAAGCCCAACCCAACCCAATATCTTTGACCCTGTCAAAACTACTAAACTAGTGGTCCCCCACCTAAAGCCTAAATCCATTCTATTCCCATGAGGTGAGGGCCTGAGGGGCGAGTTGCGACTGGGCCAGAGAGAGAGAGAGAGAGAGGAGGGATCTTGGCCCACTCCTCTCTATTGTTTATGAGTTAATTCCCTGCTTCGCCTACTTCCTTTTCTAACGTGGGATGGACATCAGACGGATGTAACGACATTTCATCTCATGTTAGTACATCGGTTCAAGGTATGACCCAATAGATATTGTTAGGGCTATAAGTCGTGTCGGGTTAGGTCGGGTTGAGGTCAACCCTAATTCTAAGTTTTAAACCCTCAATCTTAATCCTAATCTAATCCGAATTGCAATCCGATTTATCTAATTCTAGCCTTAATCCTAACTAAATACCTTTAACTCTAACTCAATCCAACCCAACTTTTTTTCCATCCCTTAAAATCTTGTAGAACTTCTTAATCTAAGATCTTAACTCAACTTTCACTACATATATTAATCCTCTGTTTTATTAATATTTTTTTATTGATATTTTTATTGGTTCTCTAAGTAAAAAATTCAGAAAAAAAAAGTGTTTGAAATGATTATATTTTATTATGAGTTATGACTTATAAAAGATCTTTTATAGGTAGCAAGTTATGGGTGACAAGCAATAAAGAGGAAATAAAGAATAAAATATTCAAAAAACATAAAATATATTATTAAGGTTTTAGTATTTCCAATTAGGATTAAGTGAATTGATTATCTTTAAAGAAATAAATGGTAGTATGTGGTGGGGGCTATACAATTATCATGCATCTAAACAAATCAATGCATGATATATTATATATAACATATATTTATATGTGATATGTACTATAGAGTCGGGTTCAGGTTGGGTCGGGTTGCCCAAGGGATCAACACTAACCCAACCCGAAGTAAAATCGAGTTCATAAATTTCAACCCTAACCCTAACCTGAGCATCAACCCAACTCAACTTTTTTCGGGTTGGGTTCGGGCCAACCTGGCCCAAGTTGTAGCCTTAGATTTTGTGCTTGGATGCATGAATGGGCAAATGGTGGATATCTACAAAAGATGCATGATGTACCATCTTACAAAAGGTGCATACCTAGAGAATGAGAATTGAGAAACTTGCCCTGTTCAATCTCCTCGTATCATTTACCAACATCTGATACACACATACACACACACTCTCTCTCTCTCGTATCATTGAGAAACTTGACCCAACTAGAGTCGAGTTCATGCTTATGGCTTTTATAGAGGAACTCCGAATCTCCTTACTACGTCTACTCATAACACACTACCCCCATAAATTGGGAACATCTCCCCCTACATAATACTATGCAGAGGATGAGATATTCTCCATGTGTGATTGCAATAAATGTGGGCAGAATTTGTGTGGGAGGAGATCCAGACTCTTGTAGAGGATCCATGCATATGGGATTTATTTAAAAATAAATTGAAGATGGAGCTTTATGACATTTCCAATTTAAGTATAATAATTTTTTATTAAATTTAAAATTTTTATGAAATTTATATAAATTTTTGTTTTTAATGCAACTTAAGTTGAATTTAAATTATCAAAATTTAATTATAAAACTAATAATTGTTTGATAATTTTGTATTAGTTCTATATTAATTTTAAATTGATATTAGTTTTTTGTTTATCTTATTCCGTTTATTAATTAAACTCTTTTTATTATATTAACAAAATTTTTTTTATTAATAACAATAATTAATAGTTATTTTTATTTTATTTAAATAACTTACTAAATTATTTTTATTATGGTTGAGTAATTTTTATTATTTTCAAATGGAATATAAATGGATTATAGTTTGGAATGAAAATAAATTATTTAGCTAATAATATATCATTAAATATCTTAATTTCAATATAATTAAATTTTACTAATAATTACAATTTAATCACTATGGCTGCGTTTGGAAACGATGCAAATAAGTGTGAATGCAAATATATGAAGTGTAAAATGATTTATATAAATTACAAAATTGGGTTAATTTTGCACTGACAAATTCACCTTCTTACCAAATAGAATTTTAGCTGTAATTGTCCTAATGGTTGCAAATATGAATTCCAATAAAGCATATGCTTTTTTCTTTTTTCTTTTTTATCAAAAGCCCAATTAAATGCAAATTTACTTTTTTTTATTAATATACTTTCACATCTTATTATCCATATAAATATGCATTAATCTATCAAAAGCCCAATTGGATTTGCACTCCATTTGCATTATTTCCAAAGACAGTCTATAAGGTATTTTAATAAAATGCAACATATAGAGTAAGTTTAAAGAAATCTGTAATATTAGAGGGTGTTCTACTCATTACTTTTATATACAACACTTTTTTGCTTCGAATCCTAGTCGACTCGTGTACTGTCATGTAAATCTACTGAACTTTTTTGTTTATTCACGTACTTTGACGTTTCATAAAGCAACATGTCCAGCTGGACACGTGACGTGGCATATCCATAACAACGCTGCAAATGAGATCGCCTCATATCCGTTGTTGATAAAAAACGTCACGCCCCACTCACTCCACGTCTCCACCCACCTATTATCAGGACAGGAAGATGGATAAATCAAATACATAGAAGGTAGAAAGTCAGAAACCAACAAAACAAAACATGAACGACCGCCCAGAAAAGTTACAGTGGAAAATTTAAAAAGACGACGAGACGAAAACATCGAAGAGAAGTGAGTAAAAAGCCAAGGCTTCTCCCTCCGTCACTCGTCTCAAAACCCCTCTCTCTCTCTCTCTCTCTCTCTCTCGTCTGTTCTACTCACTCACTAGCTCTCACTCTACTCCCTCACTACCAACCCCCTTTCCCTTTCTTCCTTGCTTGAGTCGACAAAATAGGGGATCAAAATGCAGTTCCTTCTTCTTCTTCTTCTTCTTCCCGTTCTCTTCTATCCCCTTGACAACCAATACGTCGCCGGAAAACCGGTTCGTATTTCGGAAAACCGCGCTTTACTCTCCTTGAAAACAGCCATTTCGGATGATCCCCAGGGTTTCCTCCAGAACTGGAATTTCTCTACCAGCCACTGCACATGGACTGGCGTCTCCTGCGACTCTCTCAACCGAGTCGTTTCTCTCGACCTCTCCAATATGAACATCTCCGGCATTTTATCACCTGACGTCGGCCAGCTCCGCAACCTTGTCAACCTCACCGTTGCCGCTAACCTCATTTATGGTCCCATCCCACCTGGCATCTCTTATATCTCCGGTCTCCGACTATTGAACCTCTCCAATAATGTTTTCAACGGTACCTTCCCTTCCCAGCTGTCGCGTCTCAAGTACTTGGAAGTTCTTGATTTGTATAACAATAACATGACCGGAGATTTACCGGTTGAGGTGTCGGATATGCCCAATCTTCGTCATCTCCACTTTGGCGGCAACTTTTTCTCCGGTAGAATTCCGCCGGAGTACGGACGCTGGGAGTTTCTTGAGTATATGGCGCTTTCCGGTAATGAGCTTACTGGTCCTATACCGCCCACGATCGGCAACTTAACCAAGCTTCAGCAGCTCTACCTTGGATATTACAATACCTATGAAAGTGGTATCCCGGCGGAAATGGGAAACCTGACGGAACTAGTTCGATTGGATATGGCTAACTGCGGATTGTCCGGTGAGATTCCTCATGAACTCGGTAAGCTTCAGAAGTTGGACACATTGTTTCTTCAGGTCAATGGGCTTTCTGGAGAGCTTACTCCGGAGTTGGGGCAGCTGAAGAGCTTGAAATCAATGGATCTCTCGAACAACATGCTTTCCGGCGAGTTTCCAGAAACATTTTCCGAGCTCAAGAACCTGACGCTGTTGAATCTTTTCAGGAACAAGTTACACGGTGCTATTCCCGACTTCATCGGCGATTTGCCGGAACTAGAGGTTTTACAGCTTTGGGAGAATAATTTCACCGGAAGTATCCCTCAAGGGCTTGGAAAGAATGGGAGGCTTCAGTTCCTAGATCTGTCGTCCAACAAGCTCACTGGAAATCTCCCGCCTGATCTGTGTTTCGGAAATCGGCTGCAGACACTGATCGCTTTGGGTAACTTTTTGTTCGGTCCAATTCCGGAATCGCTGGGAAGATGCGAATCACTGAGCCGGATTCGGATGGGAGAGAACTTTCTTAATGGTACCATACCTAAGGGGCTTTTTGGCCTCCCCATGCTCGTTCAAGTAGAACTTCAAGATAACTATCTCGTTGGAGGTTTTCCGGAAACTGATTCAGTCGCCGAGAATCTCGGGCAGATCAGTCTCTCGAACAACCAGCTCATGGGATCTCTTCCACGGTCCATTGGAAACTTTTCTGGCGTGCAAAAGCTCCTCCTTGATGGGAATTTTTTCTCCGGTAGCATTCCGGCTGAGATAGGAAGGTTGCAGCAACTATCCAAGATGGATTTTAGCAACAACAGATTCTCCGGCTCAATTGCCCCAGAGATCAGCCAATGCAAGCTGCTTACTTTTGTCGATCTCAGCAGGAACGAGTTGTCTGGTGAGATTCCACCAGAGATCACGGGTATGCGAATCCTGAATTACCTGAATTTATCGAGGAACCATCTTGTGGGGAGCATCCCTGCGTCTATCTCTACTATGCAGAGCTTGACTTCTGTTGATTTCTCCTACAACAACCTCTCTGGTTTGGTTCCTGGAACAGGCCAGTTCAGTTACTTCAATTCGACGTCCTTCGTCGGCAACCCTGATCTCTGCGGCCCATACTTGGGGCCTTGCAGGTTTGGGGTTGCCAACGGTACCCACCAAGGCCACGTTAAAGGTCCGCTCTCTTCTTCGTTAAAGCTCCTTCTTGTAATTGGTCTGCTTGTCTGTTCTATTGCATTTGCCATTGCTGCCATTATCAAAGCTCGATCCCTGAAGAAGGCGAGCGAGGCCCGTTCATGGAAATTAACTGCCTTCCAGAGGTTGGATTTCACCTGTGACGATGTGTTGGATTGCTTGAAAGAAGATAACATTATAGGGAAAGGAGGTGCTGGTATTGTTTACAAGGGTGTTATGCCTAATGGTGACCAGGTTGCCGTCAAACGGCTTCCAGCAATGAGCCGAGGATCATCTCATGATCACGGGTTTAATGCAGAGATACAGACCTTGGGGAGGATTCGGCACCGGCACATTGTGAGGTTATTGGGGTTCTGTTCCAACCATGAGACGAACCTTCTTGTTTACGAGTACATGCCTAATGGGAGCTTGGGTGAAGTTCTCCATGGCAAGAAGGGTGGCCACTTGCATTGGGACACACGATATAAGATTGCTGTGGAGGCTGCCAAGGGACTCTGTTACCTGCACCATGACTGCTCCCCATTGATTCTCCACCGTGATGTGAAATCGAACAATATCCTTCTCGATTCCAACTTTGAAGCTCACGTTGCAGATTTTGGTCTCGCCAAATTTCTGCAAGACTCGGGCACCTCAGAGTGCATGTCGGCTATTGCTGGTTCCTACGGTTATATTGCCCCAGGTAAAAAAATTGCCAATTCCATCCAGCATCATATTCTCATAAGAATTGCTAAATATTTAACACTCTTTCAGAATTCTAACTTCTTGTTAGCCAGGAGATATAAGAAGAAGAGAACAGGACTTCCAGAACTGATTTTTGAGTTCAATTAATGCGTTAAAGATTTTATAATAAATTCCTTGAGATTGGAGTGTTTTTTTTTTCTTACGCCATCTAATAATTATGAATCATGTAATTTATTGGGGAGTTTGGGTTCAATCGCTTCAATATCATTTTTAAATTTAAATAGAAGTAAATGACAGTTAATTCATTTCCATTTTGATTATGCTTCAAAAGTTCAGAAGTAATCTGTTTACTTCAATTGATTGTGGTTTGCAGAGTATGCCTACACCCTGAAGGTGGATGAGAAGAGTGATGTTTATAGCTTTGGTGTGGTTCTTTTAGAATTGGTGAGTGGCAGAAAACCTGTTGGCGAGTTTGGGGATGGAGTGGACATAGTCCAGTGGGTCCGGAAGATGACGGATTCAAACAAAGAGGGAGTGCTAAAGATTCTTGATCCAAGACTGCCTTCTGTTCCTCTCCATGAGGTGATGCATGTATTCTATGTAGCAATGCTGTGTGTGGAAGAACAAGCTGTCGAGCGCCCTACAATGCGGGAAGTTGTTCAGATCCTCACAGAGCTTCCAAAGCCACCCAACTCCAAACAGGGTGACTCAACGATAACGACGATGGAATCTTCGCCATCATTGGCAGCTGCTACCGCTGGAGAGGAACAGAACTCGACAACTATTAGAGAGACAAAAGAGCAGCAGCAGCAGCAACAACCAGCAGCAGCAGCAGCACAATTACCACCTCCAGATCTCCTTAGCATATGAGATGGGTTGGTGTCTTGTTGTTCTCTTCCATGAACTGGGTTGGCTTTTGTTTTTATTAAGCGTTCTTTTGGGGGGTTCATTTTCTTGTTTCTCCAACTCCAAGATGGTAAATGAATGGTTAAGTTTTGTTCTGTACAGTAGAATTTGGTAGGTCTTGTTATATTGTTCTTGGGTGTTCATTATGTGGTAGTGACGTTACTGCAAAGTGACAATGTTGTTGATGTTACCGTGCGAACACCGAACTGGGCCAGTGCCCTGAAAGGAGTCAAGGTGCGGTTATGACTTGTGAGAGATCAGAGAGGGATAGTAAAATAGAGATGGAGTTGAGTGTGGGAGGTTATAGAAATTTGTGTGGCAATATTTTATATTGTATAGGATGGAGATGTTACCCAGAAACAAAAACAAAGGATGGAGATAGGAGAGGGAGCTGCTCAGCTATGCAAAAGCTCAGACCACCCCCTTGGGAGCTCAGAAGCTTTCAATTACCGAGACCGGTGGTGGGGCTTTTGAGTTCTGTGCGATATATACTCTGAGAGAGAGAGAGAGAGAGAGAGAGAGAGAGAGGGAGGGAGGTGTTTCTTTTGGAGTGATGGAGTCCAAAATGTCAATGTGTGAGAGAGGTAGCTTTAATGGAGCTTCCCTCATTCGTTTAATTAGTACGCAAATGGGCTTGTTGCAAGGTCCAACTTCCCAAGCAGAGAGTAGAGAGAATCAAGAGAGGGGAAGTAGTTGTGGGTCGCGTCAATAAGAAGCCAAGGACTGTCTGTTTACTTGTATGAATGATGTCTCTGTCTCACTCTCACGTACGTGCATCGCCAGGACAGTGCATGCGGCAAGTGTGGGACCTACAAATTGGTCCCATTGAATTGGATTATTTACCACCTGTTCTATCGGAAATCACATCTGCGCCCCCACAGCATATCCCAGCCGTGTATTGGGAATATCTCTCAATCTGCAGATGGTCGTACTTATATTTTGGCCAATGGCTTTGCTGTGTGGATGAACAATTTAAACATGTTACCAAGTATGGTTTAATCACACATGGATTCATGTCTCTCTACCTACTAACATAATTAGGACAGTGGATAAGTAAAGGACCTTTAATAGAAAATAATAAAATACTTGTCGACCTGTTCTGCTGACGTGGCTGTTATTTTTTCAATTCTAATTCTAATGGTGTGACCTCTGTGGAGTTGTGGGTGTTTGGTCATTCTTTCCGTGCCCTTCAACCTCAACATTAATGGTGTTATCTCGTACTTGGTTTCGCCGTGTTTGTTTGGAGGCTTGCACTTGGGCCGGCACGTAGGAACATTTTCATATTCCGACTAGAGCTAGAGTGCTAGACTACTACTGGCTTACTATTACTAACGCATCAATCTCAATTCTCTCAAGTCTCAACCAACCCCCATCCAATGTAAGGCGTAGACTCTACGTATTTGGCTTTCACATTGTGATTTGTGAATTGAAATTGTCATGTTTTCATCTGCAGAGCCCTGATTTGGACATTGTATGGTAATAAATTAATGAGTAATGGTACAAATAAATGTGCGTCCCGAGGACATGAAAGATTCCAATCCAAGTGTAAATGCCTTGGGATCGACAATCCTGGGATGTAAAAGAACTTGAGACTTGTTCCATCAACACCAGTTAGCATTAAGCGAGCAGTCACCCGACGCGAAATGACCCAATCACCCCCTACCCTCTGTTTTATAATCTACGTACGATTAAGGAATTTTATTTTATTTTATTTCCACTCTTGAGAGTTTATAAGCAACTAAAAAGTATTCTTTGTGCCCATTTTTTCCTTTTAGTTTTTCTTTAATTTCTTGTTTTATTTTCTTTTTAATTTTTGCGTGGCGTCCTCAGACTGCGTTTGAGCATAGATATGCGAGTAGAGTTTTTAAATGGGTGTATGGCGCAAGAGGATTATTGGTGGGTTTGCTTGTGATTTGTGAAGTGTGTGCAATATTAATTATATTGTTTGTTGCACGTTAGATGTTTTAAGCTGATGCAATTATTTTATTGCAGGGATAACGGGGTAAGTGGGTAGCGTTTGATGCAAGTGGTCTCTATTCTCTAGGTGAAGCCAAAGCTTAATAAACCAGCGTTCCACACTAGCTCCCTGTCAGAGCCCAGAGGCAGAGGCGCTAATAACGGAGTAAGTGATCTGCTACCAACACAATGCTCCCAACATGTCATCACAGTCCAATGTGCGTCTGCAGTGTCTTGTTAGGACAGTGTTGGGCAGATCCCTACCCTCTAATAACATTGTTATGTTATTGTTACAGTATTATGAGTATCTAAACTAAAACCACTACCCTCCATCCAACCTGTAGACCCGGGATATGATCTGTAGAACAGATGAAGCATACCACCCTAAATACCTAACTGAATCCGCCTAATTCCTGGACCGGCTTGGTTGATCTGACGCTAGTGCTTAGTGCTTAGTGGGTTAGCATCATCACTTTAACCTAGTTGACCCAACAATGGAAACCGGTTGATCCAAGTTGGTGAATATGGGATGCCTTTGCTCCATGCTCTTTTGGAGGAGAACCTTAAAAAGCAAAGAAAGATATAACAATGCTGCCATCTCGAGAATGATAAATCATATCAAACAAAAATCCATATAAGGACAAAGAAGCTTTCTTGGATGATGTGGGTTCTAGATCTGATTGAGTGCACAGTTTGTTCTGCTTAGGCCCAAGCGGATCCTGGGGCCAAAACCAACATTGGTTTTTTGCTTAGTAAAAGAAACCGTGCACATGCCAACTACAAACCGACACAATTACTGGTAAAATTCTAAAATGGAAACTGAGTACAGAGGAGGGTGTTGGGTAACAATCAATACGTCTATGAAGTAGAGATCACCAAGTCCCCAGCTTAATTGTATGATGTGTCACTCTGAGCCAATGCATGTGCATGGCTCACGCTCACCGCCATTATTTATGTGCACCCATCTAAACTCCATAGTTTCCTACCAACAAAAAAAAAAATTCTAAACCCTAGAATCCTGCCCAGGTGATAAACCAAACACGGTTGCAAAGGGCATCGAATTGTTCTAACTCAAATTCAAATGGACCCAATTAAGGGTCATCTGGATATCGAATGTGGATCTACCTCTGTCCAAGTGTCCAATCCAATATAATCTAATGTAGGGGTAAGTTCTTCCCACATCTCTATCCACATGACATTCCAAATGTGCGTTGGGAATAAGAGATTCAGACTGAAAACTAACATGGATAAGGGGTAATATGAGTGGAGATTTCTGGGCCATAGGGGGACCAAGGCTTCCCTAATTCTCCCCTTGTTCTGCCCTTGATTTGATTCAATTTAACTATGTAGGGTCATATATATTAATGTATATATTAGTAAAATTGATTGGAGATATATGTTTTTACTAAATTATCATTAGTTCAAATTTCATTCAAGTAATTTTTATTTTAATAATATTATTATATAATATTTTGATCATTTTTAATTTAATTTATATTATCCAATACCCAATTGCACGTGAATTCAATATAAATCTGATTTAAAACAAGTTCAAATGTAAATGAATCAAATATCTATCCATATCCAATTTTATTCGATCCATTTGTTGAAAGGGACAAGGTGCTAGTTTCATTCTCCGAGGGTCTACTCTGGAGAGATATGGAGAGATGGAAGAGAGGAAGATAAAGAGGAACCAAAACAAATGGGAGACAAGAAGCCCTAACTAGGGAGTGGGAGGGGAGTGTGGCGAGATTTAAGGAATGAAAAAATCCCTCAAGATGACAAACAACTTTACAGATAGTACCTCAAATGGAGTCTAATCCAAAGCTAAGGGCCCAAGGCTGTGGCGAATCACAACCAAACCATCCTCCTTTTTTTCAATTTTATTTTGGAAGTAATACAAAAAAAAAAAAAAAAAAAAATCAATTGCATTTCGAGTTCAGCTTTGTCGTCATTGTCTTGTACGTGCTCTCGTAGTCCTTTTTTCCTAGACTAGAGACTCCTCTCCAACCACTATTCTACGTAAAATCCTCTCTCTCTCTCTCCCTCAACCATTGGACAGTTTTTAATATATATAAAAATTAATTAACTTTGCTACTAATAAATACCTTATTCATTATTGTTACAAATACAATAATAAAAGCTTCCAAGGGCCCAGCAAGAAGAAAGAAGAGAAGACAGTCTCTAATTCTAAGATTTTGGTCTCCGGAATGCGGGTTGTGGGGGGTCTCTCACACATAATAATGAAGGTGGGTATGGAGATGGAGACAGATCCACCTGTAAATTTATTGCTTATGTGGCACCCCACTTCACATGCCATGAGTTAATGACCTGGTTCCATGTCTCTTTCTACTTCTTTTAAGGCTCTTTTGAGTCAAACCAAATAAGTGGTTTCCTGTAATATATCTGATGCAAATTAATTATTCAAGAATGTTCATTCACCAAATTTCTTAATTAGCATTGCAAATGTCGAATCCAGATGTTCTTTTGGCTTTGGTTATTCAAGGGAAGATGTATTTGGGATTTGGGAGGAGACTTGAGTCAGTTTGACATTAAGTTTCATTTAATGACACTCAAATGCCCAATGGTTCTTTTGTGTGGGTCTGGCCGACCCAAATACATATTCGATAGACAATCCACATCGGCAGTGATTTCATTCCTCCACGTGGTGCACTGAGTCGTTTAACTAGAGGATAGGTCTAAGTGGCCGGTGTAGTAAAACTCTGTCTCATCTCCCATAGACAAGGCACATATACACACAGAGACAAAGAAATAAGAAACCCACTTGAGCTTTGGTAATAGGGATAAGTCTGAAGCCTCCACTGATGTTAGGAAGGTAAGGTTCATCCGGTAAATAGAAAAATTGGCACAATAAGAAGTACTGAACAGGGGAATTCTGTAACACAAGGACATATGTTGAAGAGTGTTAGCTTAAAAGCAAAAGGAAAAGAACCTTTAAATCTATGTCCTTTAATAAAGGACTTGGTATACGAATGATGAGAAAGATATGAAACACTTTTGGTTGAAAAGAGTTCTTTGTTATAATCTAAAAGGACTCCAGCCACTGAATAGATAAATTAAGTCAGATAGAGATCTGATAAAATCACATAGACCGGAGAGGAGACAGACAGAGTCCAAGAAGTTCAGTTAATAAATTTTACAAAGAAGCTTT